GGGCAAAAAGATCAAGATGGTGGCTGGGACACACGTTTAAAAAAACAATTACAGGTAGTCCTTGATTTACAACAGTTTGTTTAGTGATTGTCCAAAGTTATAACGGCACTGAAAAAAGTCACTGGTTTTCACTCCATTGCAGTATCCTCATGTGATCAAAATTCAGATGTTTGGTAACAGTCTCATATTTATGACGGTTGCAAAAGTCATTGCAACCGTCATAAATTTGAGACGTTACCAAACATCTGAATGTCATGTTGCCAAACAATCAGAGTCATGTAATCACCTTTTGCAACCTTCCGACAAGCAAAGTCAGTGAGGTATCCAGATTCACTTAACAAACATGGTACTAACTTAACAACTGCAGTGATTCACTTAACAACTGTGGCAAGAAAAGCCGTAAAATGGGGCCAAATTCATTTAACAAATGTCTCGCCTAGCAACAGAAATCTTGGACTCATTTGTGGTCATAAATTGAGAACTACCTATACAGTATGAGACCATATCTTCATTTTCCCCCCACTCCCCATGGATGTCTCTGGCTCTCCACATTTAGTCTTCCTTCTTCCCAACTCCCAGGATCAAATTCAGGTGTGAAAGTCCCGGTAAGTGACTAAACAGAAACAAACCTCCCTATTCACATCCTTATTCTGTGTTTTAACAACTTAAGAGCCAACAGTTTGCACATAATTGACATTTTCACATCAAGGCCAATGCAGTGATGTTCCAACATCTCTTGGGATGAGCAAAAGAAGCTTAATTATCCACCTTTCTACCCAGATATGCTCCACTTCCTTTCTTCTGAATCTCAGAACAGACCAACATGTTTTAAAGCTTTTCAAGCTGTTATCCTAGCTTTCTTAGAAGACTGACTGCAAGCGTTCTCCCTCAAGTTAGCAAAAATCTTATTCTGTACCAATGTGGAGAGAAAATACAAAAGCTTTGCTTGAAGGAACCAACCCTGCATTCGTTTTTCTGTGGAAATTTCAGCCAGACTTCTTGAGGGGCAGCCCAACATTGAACACAATTCTACATCATCTCATTTAGCTTTGTGGCCACCCTGTTCCCCAAGGGCAATAATCTAGTTCAAACGCAACTGTCTAACGCAAGAACAAAAAAATAAAATAAAATAAATAAAATGGTTTTAAAAAACTGCATGTTAAAGAGGAACATTAAAAATGAACCTTTGCCCTCCAACGCATTGCCCTTTTCTGCTCGTAATGAAAAAGCACCATAAAAATATTTTGCTAGCTATGATTGGAAGGATGAAAAAGGCACATTGAGAGCTATAGGGATGTGGATTTTTGCTCCTTAACTAGGTACAAGATGGCACTAAGATATATTCTTGGTTTTTACTGATTATAGCATTACCATCTGCAATTATTACACTGAAACAAGAGATTTATGTGGAGAGAAATGTTTGTTTTCTTTCCATCTTTCTTTCCCTCTCCCAAACATCGGATACGCAATGTTTTCTTGCATTGTACAAGTTGCTCACATGCTGGTTTGCACCTAATCTAAACTTCTAAGTTTAGAAAGAGCACATTTTCTCCAGAATCCCATTGTCCATCCCAATTCCTACACCATTTCATCCTTAATCCCCTCACACTGCAATCCTTCCCCACCCCAATGCCTTTTCTCTTCACTGCAGCAATGGTTGAGAGCAGCAAGGCATACCCAGGCTGCAGATTAAAATGGCCGCTGAAGAGGAAAAATGGTGGAACTTGTAGGACTCGACAAACACCAACGAAGCACGCACACCGGAAAAGCAGTGCATCTGCCTCTGCAGTGATGTTCAGGGATGGGCAGAAGAACCATATCCTCAAATGCTAATCTGCTCCCAAACTGGGAATTGGAAATTTGAAAAATTGGCCCCGTTCTGCATCATCTGCACTGCAAAAGACATGCAAAAGGCTGCAGAAGATACAAGATTTAGATCTGGAAGGAGGATAGGAAAAAGATATAAAAGGAAATTATGCTCGGAAGTGGGGAAAGAATATGACATAATTTATTTTGGCATTTGATCAGGCAAGCCATGGGTTTATATAATTTCCTTCCTAGTCCGTTTTTTTACATACAACCAGAAAACAAAAACTCAGAATAAGGAACTGAGTCCAGCAAGCTGGTCAGTCATGTGGAATTGGGATGCCTACAAATTTAATAAATAAAACTAGTCTCTTTATTTTCCGAGAGTGACACAATAATGCCACTCAATGGTGTTCTATGCCAAAAGCAAAATTAGAAATGACTTCCCCCATCTTTGATGCTGCAACATGCCAGGTTTGGGATTACAAAGAACTGTTCTTCAAGCATTAATTAAATTATATGTTGGTCCAATTTTGCTCATTCCCTCCTAGGCAGAGAAATGGGTTCAAGGCTACCTTTGGCCTCAATCACTCAGTTCGATCTTAAGCAGTTTTTCTTAGCAAAGATACGGGAGTTCAGCAACATTTTCTTTTAAGCTAAGTTTCTGAATCTTGGTAAATTACTAAAGGGTGGACTCTAATTTCCAGAATTCCCCAGCCAGTTGGCTGGCTGGGGAATTCTGGGAGTTGGAGTCCACCCATCGGAAACCTGCCAAGGTTGAAATATGTTATACTCAGGTATGCGTTTCCCATCCCTGCTTAAAATGGGTCAGCAGACGGCATGAACTGAAAAGGAGGAAAAACAACAAAAATATTGTTGTGCGATGAAAGAATGGATGATTTGGCTCAAGGAATGATTCATCAGCTAAGCAAGGGTGGGACAGGAGGACAGGCCAAAACGGGCAGCACTTGTCTCGGGAGCTCGGGAGGGACGCAGCTTTGTGTCAAAGCACCATTAGCCCAAGGCCGGTTCAAGGTGTTCCTTTATTTGTTTATTTATTTTATTAATGATGCACCTCTATGCCGCCACAATCGAAACGACGGGGAGAACGGAGTGGTTGGAGAGTGACAGTTCTGAAAAGTGGGTGTCATGGTTTTGCTTACTTTCTACAGTGTTGTTTATGCAAAATGGTTCCTCCTTCCTGATTATGTTGATCAATCGCCATCGTAAGATCTCAAAAAATCACGGCCTAGACGACTTTCTCTCCTCCCTTCCTTTTCTATTAGCTGGACACATTCAAAGCTCCCCACTGCACTGATTCTAATCAGAGGAAGGACAACTTGAAATACGTACATGGATATCTGCATGCACACAAAATCGAACTTTTCACATATTGGATGGAATGCCGAACAGAATAGGAACTTTATTATTTATTGAAATATTTTTTTTAAAAAAAGTCTTCTGCTATTCTTTTCTTCATCCCATCCTTGCTTTCCAAGCATTAATTTCAGACATGCTTTCATTCTCTATCTCCTATCTCTCTTCTATAATCTTTGCGTATACATTAAATTGTAGAAAAAGGAGGTGGGAAAAAACCACATTGCAAGTGCTAAAATTATATGTGGCTTGCTATATATCATGCACATGTGGGCAAAATAAAATACTTCAAGTCCCCAACTTACAAATCATTGAAAAGAAAAAAAATGACCTCAAGCACCATAAGTATAAAGCTATTGGACAAAACTATTTGACATTTTCTAGGAGGACTTATTAATAACATAAGATATGATGGGGAAAAAATAAAGTCAAATAAAATTATTCCTTTGCCTACGGGAAAATGTTAGTCGAAGCTCATAGAATGTAACAGCAGTACCTCTGAACAAGTACAGAGTCCCTTATCTACAACACCAAAGAACTAGAGTTGGAAAAAACACCCTCTTATTGAAATCTATACCTGTTTTACATCTGGATATGTTGTCTTTCATGCTTACGCATTCAAATGAAAATAATACGGATCAGATTACATTCTGCTTTCCAGTTTACTCACGCTGAGGGATAGCAAAAGTCCTTTAGAACTCATCAAATTATACCTTAAATGACTTCCCAGGATAGAGATAAGAAACCGGAAAAGACTGCAGGGTAACCTTAACTTTATTGAAGAGTAAACCCCACCATGAACAAATTGATCTATTCCTTCATTATTTTTAGGGTTTGTCTCAGGATAAAGCCTAAAATACTTCTTGGCAGGAAAAATCACAAGGTCATGTTAAAAAAAATCTACCAAGTAATATAAAGTGTTTTTTTTTTAAGGAAAAGAAATTCATAAAATAAAAAGGGATTAGAGATGAGGGTGGAGTGATGGATTTACACATACAAACACATGCTGGTTTGCATGTGGAAATAATTGATCTCCTTAATATCTATTTCTGCAACAGAAAACTGCTAGATGTGAGTTTCTGCAGATTATGTTATTATATGAAACAAACAAACAAAAATCTCCATCCTTTAATGAGCTTTGCATCCAAACACAATTTTTCCTTACGCCACAACTCATAATAACAATAATAAATAATAATAATAATCACAGCTAAGATGCAGTGGTGTTGTTGTTTTTTTTTTAAATACAAGTTGCTTAACCCAAAGAGAGCTCAAAATGCACATCTGGAAGAGAACGTTTTTTTTTAAAACCCCTTTTCCTATTCTATATCACAATGTCCTGTTTGCTATTATTCAACCGCCAAAGATGCGTTTGTTTTTCCTTTAGTTGCTCGCTAAACTGTTTATCGGTTGCATTTCTTTCTTTTAAAAAAAATCTCGTTTGTAAAGTACGGCAGCTTCATTTGGAAAGCAATAATACCCACGAGTGAAATAGCTGGGTGTCGGGAGAAAATACGATTATTTATTAATCAAGGAAAGGAAAAGAGAGCGCGCGATCGCAACCGAGCGCTAACAACTCCTTAAACCCGGCGATCCTCTCTCTCTCTCTCTCTCCCTCCCAAAGCAGAGTGGGACCGGCTTCCGAAGAAACGCTCCCACTTTCGCTTCGCTTTCCCAAGGGGAGACACTTCGGATCCCCCCGCCCTGCAAGTCCCCTCTGGAACTGGATCGCGCCTGGCCGCGCGCGATCGATTGATCGCCTCTCCCACCTGGACGCCAATGAAGAGAGGGGGGGGGGATCCGTGGGAGATTCTTACCTCGCATCTTCTATCTACGCCGAGGTTCCCTTCTCTTATCTCTCTTCTGGAAATAGCATGGAAAAAAAGCAGACCGTCAGAAACAAAAACTCCTTGCAGGAGGGGAAATAAATAGATACGGCGGGGAGCGGAGGGTATAAAGTTTCCAGCGTGGGATCGGACGGGTGGTTTGGTTTCCCTCGATCGCTCGCTCGCTCGGCTGGTTTCTTCTCTTCTGTTTGGGTTTTGCAGCTCGCCCAACGATTAAGGAGAAGTGGTTGAAGCGTCTTCCTTGTGATGTCTCCACACCTTCCTTCCTTCCTTCCTTTCTCCTTCCTTCGCTCCTTCTTTCCCTGCCAAGCGCTCTTGGAGAACTGCTAACCTACTTTCTTCCAGAGGTTGGTATGTACAAGAAGCATGGGAAACTCACATGACAAATCCCAGGCTCGGGGCTCCGCCCACCTCCTGTCAATTTCAGCCCAAGCTCCACCCACTCTGGGTCCGGGGCCCGCCCCTTCGCTTTGCGTCCTTGGATTTGTGTTGTTCTGATCTGTTTTCCTTCCATAAAAGGCTGCGAGCGTTTTTTCTTTTCTTTTCTTTTCTTTTCTTTTCTTTTCTTTTCTTTTCTTTTCTTTTTCATTGCATGGACACTTTTCTCTGTTTTCTTATCCAGCAAAAAAAATGTACTGGTTGCATTTATTTAGGTTCATTTAACAGATTCCTGTACAGCATTTATTTATGTTTGTTCAATATTGGTTAACTAGATTGCTGTCTGAAGAGTCTCATTTTACAAACAGTCCTTGTTTAGTGACTGCCTCATTTTCACTATTTTGATGCCGATGAAGAAGTAAATTTCCGACCGATCCTCGCATTTACAACTTTTGCCCGTCTGTAAAGCCAAAGAAAGCTAAAGTAGATAATCACAGTCCCACTTTCACTTAGCAACCGCTTCGCTTAATGACCAAGTTGCCAGACTCGGCTGTGGTCATTAAATGAGGATTATTTGTTTTTGCATACTGTTGCTTTTTCATTTATTCATTTTGTTTACAATTTATTTTCTGCTAGCTATTTATTTATTTATTTATTTATTTATTTTATTTTTAAATTTATATACTGCCCTTCTCCCAAAGGACTCAGGGCGGTGAACAGCCAAAGGTAAAAACACAAAATACAAAATTTAAAAGCAATTTAAAATAAATTAAATAATTTGGCCCAACAGTTTAAATACCCCATTAAAATTCAGATTAAAATTAAACAATTTAAAAAATTTAAAAATTAGGCCAGCCCGGCTTGGTGAAATAAGAAAGTCTTTAGAGCCCGGCGAAAAGTTCGTAAGTCTGGGATCGTACAAGAAAGATTCTAAGATACCAATATTAAACACTGTTAACATACAGCAATGGACCGAATAAAGACTAGCAACCAAACTAAAGAATGAACTGAACGAAGATCATAGCTATGTGCAGCTTTTCCTCCAAATGCCTGGAGGAAGGTCTTCATTTAGTCTTGGAATTATTGTAATCTCAGTGCCCATTTAATCTGTCCTGGAATAGCAGTCAAGAATCAGAAAGGCTAAAGTAGAAAAGGCCCTGCTTCATGAAGGGCAATTGCATTGCATCAAAATAAGGATAAACTGCTGACGAAGAAGCATAGATGCATACTGTCACAACAAACCATCATCACTAGAAGAATATTGGGAAAAATATAAGATATCATTTTACAACAGATTCATTTGGTTTGCATTTCTGAATAAATACAGATAGTCCTCCACTTACAACAGTTCATTTAGTCACTGTTCAGTTACAGCAGCACTGAAAAAAGTGCCTTATGACCATTTTTCACACTTACGACCGTTGCAGCATCCCAATGGTCATGTGATTAAAATTCAGATGCTTGGCAACTGGTTCAGTGTCCTGAAGTCACGCGATCATCTTTTGCGACCTTTTGCGACCAAAAGTGACTTATGACCATTTTTCACACTTATGACTCTTGCAGCATCCCCATAGTCATGTGATTTACATTTGGATGGTTCCAACTGGTTCATATTTATGACGGTTATTCTTGGGTCATGTAATCCCTTTTTTGCAACCTTCTGACAAGCAAAGTCAACGGGGGAAGCCAGATTCACTTAACAACCGTGTTACTAATTTAACAACTGCAGTGATTCCCTTAACAACTGTGGCAAGAAAGGTCGTAAAATGGGCAAAACTCACTTAATAAATGTTTCACTTAGCAACAGACATTTTGGGCTCAATTGTGGTTGTAAATCGAGGACTGCCTATCTACTACACTTTTTCTGATTTTATCATTTGGGAGAAATAGCATTGGATTGCCTTCATTCAAGCATGGAGAGGAATTTAACCTCACTTCACTTTATCACCACCTATTTGTATTTTTTTTATTACATTCTCTCTCATTGTATTCTTGAAGTGAAGAGAGAAAGAAGTCCTACATTTCAACAATATTGCTCATCCTTCCTGCACCTTTTAAAACTCTCTTTTTTGTTCAGAGCTGGGATGTAGGTTTTCTTTGAAATGTTTTCCTCAAGAGGACTAGCACCTTGCAAGCAGCAAAACTAGGACTGTGGGGCCAGAGGCAGTGATTTAACCCTAAGTGAGCTAGTTATTTTAAACCTCCATAGTGCCACCTAGTGGGGGAGAAAAACCCCACAGCCATTTGGAAAGTCATAACATACCTGTACTGGATGACATGTTGTTATCCAGGTTAGTTGGAAAGCTTTCAAATGATCATCCAGCATATTCTTATGACCAGCAGAGCCACTAATTTTGGCTAAAGGAAAGAAGTGGGGAAAAGATCTTTCTTGCCCCAATAGATGGTGGCTAGCATTATTTCTTGCTACTCATACTCATATAGAAATGTCTGAATAAAGTATGTTCACTAATTTTTAGAAACTTGAACTGTTTTTCTTGTTGACTATAAACTATCTACCATGCAAGTTATATATTTGATATTTCTACATTCTATTGTGCCTATCTAAGCAGTTGATTAATTATTTGTAAATTTTGAATTTTGTTTTGACCAGTTGAAATTTGGGCCAGACCAATTGACTAAAACCACTCCTTCTAGACACCTCATGGAGTAGCAGGCAGCAGTAGTGAAATGAAGAAGAAACTGTCTTTAAATTTGACATGCATTCCCACAACCTCATGGACATCCAGTACTATATTGATGGGTCATAGGATGACATTATGAATCAAAGGTAATTAACAAACCAAGGCCTACTTTCAGGAATAATACCAATATCACGTCTTTCCAAACATGGTTTAGAAATTGGAAGTCACTGCCAGGAACTGCTGACTGGGAATAAAACGGAAAGTGGCAGGTGAGACCTGCAGTTATCCACAGACCAAATTTAGCAAAGGAAATCAGCACATAACATGCACTGAAACTGTCCCTATGTGACAATTATGCTCCAATATGGAATCTGGCTAGCTGACCCACAATTTTTACTATAGCTGGGCTGCAGAACGCAGAATGAACGTTAGATTGCAGCAGAGTGAAAAATAGTTGAATTTTGCTACCCAGATATGGTAGTCTTAGAAACTGAACAATTGTTGCTACAGGTAGCCCTAGACTTTTTATTGTAATGGAGACTGCCCATTACGGTTGTAAGTCATGACGGTTGTAAAGCGAATCTGCTATGTGACTGATCCAATTTTCCGATGGTTGTTAAATGAATCACTGCGGATGTTAAGCAAACGCCATTGTCAAGTAAACGCCAATTTTTGACAAAAATGACAGAAATCACAGTCCCCTGACTACGGGATGTTGCAATTGGCCATTTTTTTTTTTATTTGATTTATATGCCGCCCTTCTCCGGAGACTCAGGGTGGCTTACAATGCGTTAAGCAATAGCCTTCATTCTTTTGTATATTTTATACAAAGTCAGCTTATTGCCCCCACAAACTGGGTCCTCAATTTACCTACCTTAGAAAGGATGGAAGGCTGAGTCAACCTTGAACTTGGCAAGATTTGAACTTGCTTTAATTGCAGACAGCTGGTGTTAAATTACAGTGCCTTGTCTGCAGAGCTATCCAGGCTCCTATGGAGACTGGTTGCCAATGGCCCAGAATGAGGTCACGTGACCCAGCATAAGGGGATAATTGGCAGAACTTTGGAACTGGGTCATATGTACCTTTTGGTGGGTCTGTCATAATTTCCACTAAGTGACCAGTCATAAATCGAGGATTGCCTGTAATAAACTTTAGTTTCTGCCTCCTCTCCCACAGGGTCTGTGGGAAAGGTTTTCTGCCCAGAATTAAATTGATTCTGCTGTTTCTGCCCCAGATCTCTCTGTAGCATATGAAATCATCAGTGGCGATCCAAAAAACTAAAAACAAAAACCTGACAAATCTAATATATGATGCACCAGATTCAGTTCTATTTTACACAGAAAGTTATGACTTGAATGTGTGCTTATCAAATTGTCCATCATGATAATGCACAGAAAATAGCTGGGCTGGATCGGGAGGGGGTGGGGAGGAAAAGCAAAAATGCATGGATACACACATGAACCAGCTGTGTACAATGTCACCATCCCCCCATCCCTTATGTGCATGCTCACGCTCAAACACACAAACACACACACACACACACACACACTGATGGATTTAAATTCTGCAGGGTATAAGCTGGCTTTGTAAAATCAGGAATTCTGTATATCTACCGCCCTTTTAATGCAGCTTAAAAGCTAGCAAACTAACAAATGTAAGGGGAATGATGAATTTATATCATGGTTATACAGGATGCCTTGAACATAAACCAAGAGGCTACAGTACCCTAGGAGGTATTTTTGCCTGGAAAAGCCTTGTTATCTGTCATAAAGGATAGATCCTATTTTAGCTTCCACCGTTGCTCAGTTAATGGAGCAATGTAGAAAGACACCCCCCCCCCAAAAAATCTCTCCAAACATCTCTAGGGGAAAGGTTACCAAAAGAAGGGAAAGCAGAAGAAAAGAGATTGGCTAAAAAAAGGCCAATCCAAATCAGTGTCCCCCTCCAGATCAGTGGACTTTCACCCTCTTTTTCTGTTAGATTTGATTCCTTGTCTTGATGAGTTTAAATGAGACAACAGGAGAATGTCAGTTCATGTAATCCCCAGAACAACAGCTTTGTATGGTAGGTTAGGTTCAGAGTGATGGGTCCCAAATCGCCCAAGTCGCCTGACTGAAGATGGGTTTGAACCCAGAGCTCCAGTTCCTTCCCTGCTATATCCCACTGACTTTTATATCTATGGAGATTCTCAGTCATCCAGGTCATGGTTGTCCCAAAGGTGCTTTTTTCAAGAGGCAACTGGACTTTCTGGTTTTTCTTTGAAGATGTTTCGCTTCTCATCCAAGAAGCTTCTTCAGCTCTGACTAGATGGTGGGGAAAAAACATTGACTTTTATTTTGATCAGTTCAT